GCGGGAGCGCCGCCGCGCTCCCAAGTGGCGCACTGTAGCAGTGCACCACTGGGCCGGCCCTGGAGAAGGCTTTTCTAATAAAGGCCTTAAACCCACTAGCATTACAGGAAACGATTGATAAATTCAACTCCACACATGCACACACAAATTTCTCATGGCAAAAACCATCAAGGGCAAAGACAAAAAGAAGAAAGCAGACTAAGCAACTCGCATCAGAGACAAAAGAATAACTGCAACTCGCATCAGAGACAAAAGGCTAACTTCCTTAATACATAAAGCACTCTCACAAATCAATGAGAAAACTGCACTGGAGAAATGGACAAAGCCTATTAACAGAAAGTTCAAAGAAAAGGAACTAGAAATGACTCAAACACACTAATAAATGCCCAATCTCAATGAAAGTAAGAGAAAGCCAATGAAGAGAACATCAAAATACCCCTCTATACCATGAGATTGACAGAGGTCCAAAAGTTTGATAATATTGTGTTGGTGAAGTTGGGGAAACAGGCATTCTCACACATTTGCTGAAGGGGCAACCTCTGTGGAGGACAATTTGTTAATATCTATCAGAATTACAAATACATAGGGCCAGCCCAGCGGAGCACTCAGTAGAGTGCGGCGCTTGGGAGCACGGTGGCGCTCCCGCCAAGGGTTCGGATCCCATATAGAGACCAATCCGCTCACTGGTTGAGCACGGTGCGGGCGTGACACCGAGGGTTGTGATCCCGTTGCCGGTTGCGGTATGTGCGCGACACCGAGGGTTGTGATCCCGTTACCGGTCATGAAAAAAGACAAAAAGGAAAAAAAAAACAAAAAAAAGAATTACAAATACATATATCTTTTGACCCAATGGTACTTGGGCACTTCCAGGAATTTATCCCATTGATAAATTCACACATGCACAAGATTATGCATTGCTGTTTATAAGAACAAAAGATAGGAAACAATTCAAATGTCCATCAGCAGGGAAATGTACACCCACACAATGGACTATTAGGCAGTCATTAAAAAGAGTATGGAGATGCTGACTATGTTTAATAAAATCTGAGATCCCATTGATTGTAAGATGCATCCTGATTTCAAAATTGTTAAAATGTGAAAAAAAATGTGCATTTAGAATTGATACAACATGGTGTGTTCTCCATATATATTAAGTGAAAAAAGCCGGTTCAGAGCAGTATGCAGAATATATTACAAATTTATGTGTGTGTGTGTATATATATATATATATATATATTTTTTTTTTTTTGTCTTTTTCGTGACGGGTAAGGGGATCGCAACCCTTGGCGTGGTGTTGCCCACACCGCGCTCAGCCAGTGAGCGCACTGGCCATTCCTATATAGGATCCAAACCCGCGGCGGGAGCAACACTGCGCTCCCAACACTGCACTCTCCCAAGTGTGCCATGGGGCCGGCCCACAAATTTATATTTTAAAAAGGAAAAAACAATATACTTCACACAAATACCTATGTATGACACACATGCATAGCTTTCTAGAATGACACATTGGTGGCCTCTGAGGGAGAACTGGGTGACCAAGAGACAAGAGTTGGGGGGGCTTAGGGCCGGCCCGGTGGCGCACTGCTACAGTGCGCCACTTGGGAGCGCAGTGGCGCTCCCGCCGAGGGTTCGGATCCCACATACAAACCGGTTCCCGCTCACTGGCTGAGCGAGGTGCAGGCACAGCGCCGAGGGTTGCGATCCCGTTGCCGGTCCCGGTCCGGTACGGGTGTGACACTGAGGGTTGCGATCCGTTGCCGGACACGAAAAAAGACAAAAAGGGAAAAAAAAAAAAAAAGAGTTGGGGGGGCTTAACTTTATCCTCTGTTGTGGACTAAATGTTTGTATGCCCACTCCCAAATTCATATGTGAAGCTCTAACCCCCAATGTGATGGTTTTGGGAGATGGGGCCTTTGAGAAGTGATTAGGTTTAGATGAGGTCATGAGATGGGGCCCTCGGGATGGGATTAGTATCCTTATAAGAAGAGGAAGAGACACGAGGGCTTTCTCTCCATGATTACACACTGAGAAAAGACCATGTGAGCACCCAGCAAAGTGGTGGCCATCTGCAAGTCAGGCCCTGACCAAGAACCAATTCTGCTGGCCCCTTGATCTTAGACTTCCCAGCCTCCAGAACTCTGAGTAATGAGTGCCTGTTGTTTAGGCCACCCAGTCTACAGTACTTTGTCATAGCAGCTAAGCTGACTAAGAAATACTCTTTGGGGGTTGGGGATTATATCTCCTATTCAAAATGTAAATTTTAAAATGTTTTTTTAAACTACAATAAAATCACACACACACACACACACACACACACACACACACACACACACACACACACACACATGCCAGCTAGGCCTTTAGTACCAAACCTTTAACCCTCAT